AAAAATTTGGGGGGGGGGGGAGGTCGCCAAAATAATATTTCCGGAAATAATTTTTTGGTACTAGCCGGGCACAATCACGAAAAGTCGGGCAATTTTTTTCCCGTCCCCCTAAATTTTTCCTTCCGGTACGCCCATGGGCAACTTAACACCCCCCCAAATATTCCGCGAATTGTGAAGTATCCCTATCAATCCGAAGCATAGTTATTTTGTGTTGTTAAAATTTGAGTTAAAATTTAGAGTTAAAATTTATTACAAAAAAACATCACCAAACTCCATCGTAAAACACGTAAATTAAATTTGAAGAATATTATATTAAGCCTGTTTTCAATTTCAACCGTATCGTATAACATATCCTAGCATTTTCTTTCGTGTCGAAGTCCTTAGTTCCACTCAAATACTCAGGAAACAAAGAAATACACTTCGGTACGATACGGTTCAAGTGGAAAACTGGCTTACGTTTACACCAAAGCGTTAGCCTTGGTTGTCTAATTAATATTATAATATAAAAAAGTATTATTAAAGTCTATCTTGAAAAACATACTAAAAAGTATTATTAAAGTCCATCTTGAAAAGAAAATACCAAAATGTATTAAAAATTTATTTTACTGATTTATATAAGAAATGTTTACCATCAACTTCAAGAATATACTACTATAGTCTATTATAATGTTGGAAGAGAAACTAGAGTCTTATCGACTTCAACAATATACTACTAAAGTCTATTATAATGTTACAAGAATAAACTAAAGTTTTTGCTAAAGTCTACAATAAAAGTCTATAGTAAACGTGTATTTATTTTCGTTTCAGACGACGCATGAGCTCTTCGGGACTTGGTGTTGGTCCAGGGGGCATAGGGACGGAACATGGACATGTGAAACGCGATGAGTAGTACAGCCACTTGTTATATGTGAGGTAACCAGACTTGCCTGGCTCGTACCAACCCACGAACTTGTTGGGCACCACTGGAACTGGAACATAATAAGAATGTTGACAGTAAGTTGAGAACAATCGACAAAATCAGCTGGCCCTTGTGCAACCTCGTACCCAGGCCCTTTCCTTGTACCCAGGCCCTTTCCTTGTACCCAGGGCCTTTCCTTGTACCCAGGGCCTTTCCTTGTACCCAGGGCCTTTCCTTGTACCCAGGGCCTTTCCTCTTGTGAAGAAAAGACCCTGGTAGACTCTGGTCACGTGATCTGCTAAAATCTAGCAGATTTCTAATTAACTATCTCGGATGATACAAAATGTAAATTATAAACTTAACTGTAAAAATTATCCAAATTTCAAATATTTATTGACCTCATCTTGGATTGCTAAATAATCACGTGACCAGCATCTAACAGGGTCTTTTCTCCCCTTGCCAAGAGGAAAGAGCCTGAGTACGAGGTTGGCCCTTGTGAACACTAAATGGTTGGTTTATCGCCTATTTAGCACTAACCCTCGCTGTTTTGGTCTGTGTGAAAGTAAACTCCTATTGATACAGACAAGATTTCTGAAGAAATATTTCCAAATAAAAACAAGCTGTTGCAAAATTTGCTTTGAATTTCTGGTTAACCTAGGGTTAGAGTTGGGGTTGAAATTCCAGCTAAACTTGTTAACACTAACCGTAGGCGTGTCTTCTCAAATGATGGCACATTACTCTTGGCATTTTGCCAGTGATCACGACTGGAACATACAGGGTATTCGGGGTTTCAGGGGGTTGTTTGGATACACGTGAGGATGGCGCTCCTGGCGGACCTGGGACACCGTCTCGACCACTATCCCCTTTTTGTCCTGCAGGTCCCGGGTATCCCTGCATACCAACCCGACCTGTAAATATAAAGTTCAAATGTTGTAATGCAAATCAGAACGTAAAAACTTTGAAAACGGTGCAGAACTGTCACAATGGACCATTCCCCAATTAACCAAAATTTTGATCTGAACAAGTCTACATAAAATTTCATCATGAAAGAGCATCACAACTAACAAGATTAGTAATATTCCAAAGTTTCGTTGCGAAATGTTGTAAAATGCGGATAATATAGCCTTGCGAAATTTGCAATTTTCAGTCATTTTAGATTACAAACAGGAAATGGTTACCACTCTTTCAAAATTTTGATCTTAACTAGCCTAAACAAAAATTTCAACACAGCTTGAAAGAGCATCACAAAATGAGTAATATTCCAAAGTTTCGTTGCAAAATGTTGTAAAATGCGGATAATATAGCCTTGCGAAGTTTGTAATTTTCAGTCATTTTGTATTACGCACAGAAGTGGTAACCATTTCCCGTTTGTAATCTAAAATGACTGGAAATTGCAAATTTTGCAAGGCTATATCATCCGCATTTTACGACATTTTGCAACGAAACTTTGGAATATTACTAATTTTGTGATGCTCTTTCAAGCTGTGATGAAATTTTTGTCTAGACTTGTTGAGTTCAAAATTTTGGTTAATTGGGGAAAGGTCCATTTGAGCATGGTTTCTAAACGGAGCGAGATAAAAACGGAGCGCTTGGCGTTTTTATAATGGTAAATTTACAGTTAAAACTTTTAAAAGGCACATTTCACCTTGTTTGAATTGTTTAGAATCTCTCACGAGGGCAGACAGTACGGTCAGTAATGTAGACAATTAAATCAATGTGAAAAGCAATTTTTCAAAATAAACTGACCATTTACAAAGCAAATTTACCATCATTCGTCCAAAAAAAATATAAAGTGTTGCTGTTATATGGACTTATCTCGCAGACTTCGGCTGAAAAGCCACCCAAAAATGCCGGTGTGAGAAAGGTTAATTTGTCCCTTTTGTTTGCCTGAATTTTTCCTGATGACGTGGCATAAATATACATAGGTACAGTAACTAACCTGGTTCTCCAGGAATGCCTGGAATGCCCTGGTTTCCCTTGGGACCTTCGGGACAGTAACACGGTGTGCCAATGGGTGGTCGGAACCTCGAGGATGCCGCTTCGCCCCGGTCACCTTTTTCACCCGGAGGCCCCGACTGCCCCGTTTCCCCTGGCCATCCTTGTGGGCCAGGTGGACCCCGGGGGCAGAAATTCAAGTCTGGAAGGCCTGCAGTCGCATGGTGTAGTGTAATAAGACAGGTCAATGCCAGAATTCCAAATATCTGGAAAAAGAAGAGATTTTTGAAGTGGTGTATGTATGGTTGATTGATTGATTGATTGACATCATTATTTAAAGTGCATATGACATGAAATTTCTTTTTTTCTTAAATGAAAGAACTCTTTAAGTTGTAGTGTAACTTATTTTTCAGTTTCTTGTTTTTATGGTTTATTCCCGAGATATTTCAATTTGTTTGATATGTAAATGAGTGTGAATATGTCTGCTAATTTATGACGTCACGTTGGTTGCAAGCTCTTCAAAATGGTTGAATATCACTGCTATCATCCAAGATGATAATTTCAAACTTCACTCACTGGTAAATGTGATGAAACACTGTAGAAAAACGAGAACATATATCTTCAGTTTTTAGAGTTGATAGATTTATAACCAGTGTAAGTTGAGCTTGCAACCAACGTGACGTCATAAATTAGCGGACATATTCACACTCATTTACATATCAAACAAATTGAAATATCTCTGGAACAAACCATAAAAACAAGAAACTGAAAAATAAGTTACACTACAGCTTAAAGAGTTCTTTCGTTTAAGAAAATAATAAATTTCATGTCATATGCACTTTAATTAAAACACGAGGTCCATTTCACAGGTTATGTTATGTGCTCTTCAATGGAGACGTGCACCTATACTAGTAGACTAATTACTGATAAAAAGGTATCAAACTATTTACAAAAGTAACAAACTACACATGCAAAAAAACTAATATAAAAGAAATATTAAGATATTTTAGATTTAAACTCAGCGAGAGATTGAACTCTAGTGAGTTCGACGGGTATGTCATTCCATAGGGTAGCTCCTCTATAGGAAAAACTTTTCTTCAAGGATTCCGTTAAGGGTCTTGGTACAAAAAGTTTATGACTAGATCCACGCAAACAAGCTTTCATTGGTAGGGATTTAATTCAATTTAATCATTTGTCACAACACAATCATTACGCATACATCTACAATAAACAGAGGACACAAGTGTTACTGGGGAAAGGGACAGGGCTTGCGTCCCAATTGACATCTGACTCCAACTACCTGAAAAATATAAGGAGAATTTCGACGTTTCGAGCGAAGGCCCTTCATCTGGAGTTACAAATGAAGGGCGTTCAGGGCAGTATTGAGCGAGATACAACCAAAATAAAAATATTATTTAACAACTTGTATAACTATACATCGGTAATTATAAGGTTGTTTTATGCTAATTTTTGGCATTTTCAAAAACAGCAGTGTAACGTTCAAACATCAATAGCGCAGTCAATATTGCATGTAAATTCAAGTGCCATATATCAAAATCTAAGTTTAATAGCCTTTTCTGAATGCGATGGTCTTCAATTGACCATTTGCGTAATAGACTAAATTTTGATCTCAACAAAAATTTCATTACAGCTTGAACGAGCATCACAAAATTAGTAATATTCCAAAGTTTCGTTACAAAATGTTGTAAAATGCGGAAAATATAGCCTTGCGAAATTTGCAATTTTCAGTCATTTTAGATTACAAATCGGAAATTGACAGCCTCGAAGGGTTTGGGGCTGTCAATTTCCCGTTTGTAATAAAAAATGACTGAAAATTGCAAATTTCACAAGGCTATATTTTCCGCATTTTACAACATTTTGCCACGAAACTTTGGAATATTACTAATTTTGTGATGCTCCTTCAAGCTGTGATGAAATATTTGTCTAGACTTGTTTAGTTCAAAATTTAGTCTATTACGCAAATGGTCAATTCACTGTGATAGCTTTTATAGCTTTTACGTTGCATGAAATTAAACAGTGTCCAGTTTTTTTGGGACAACCAGAATTTTTCGCAAGTGCTCCTGGTTAATGCTCCTGCCATCTACAAAAATCCTTCAAGTTCTATCGAGATGCCCAAAAAATCTCCATATTTTGACCTGAAAGTGACAAAACGTCTATATATAATGGGGTCAAATTACAACAGCGCTATAAACTTGAGCTTCATTTAGATTCTAGAAGAGTGATGTCTGAGAAAAAACCTTTCGCAGTATAGTAGGTTTATATCCATATTTTGCGCATTATACCATAGATCATTTTATGCGCGATTAATTTAACATCACACTATTTATGTTAAGAGAATAAAATGCGCAGTCGGTTGTTCGTCTTATATATAACAAGCATTGTTGCTTGTCACCTTCGACATTCTTGGTCGAACATCGCTATTTTAAAGATAGTATTTTTATTAAACATACCTGGCTTTTCCCCATATTATTTCAGCGGATATTGCGCAGATTCAGTGATCAAAGGCAGTTGTCTATTTGCAAACGTTTTCAGTAAAACTTCACGCGCAAACAAACTGTCGAAATCTGTCATGAAACAGTGGGGTGACTGTTATATTGTTACACGATTTAATTGATATCTGATACCATTGGAATGACACACTTGATTTAATTGGGTAAACTTTTCCGGATAATTCGGTCGGAAGAATATAATTGAATTTTGAAGGCAATGCGATTATAGCACACTGTCAAAACAGAAGTCATAGAAATATGTGGAAGGATTTTGCAGTAGAGCTCGACAACTGGCCTCTGTAGCTCAGTTGGTTAGAGCCGCGTTGCACCGGAATCGCCCAGAGGGCCTATATAGTTGCATTTTTTTGCACCTGCTCCTGGTGAGCTTTGAAAACATTTGAAAAGTTGCCAATTTCTACACTTATAGTGATATCATTGATATTCAAGATGGCTTATTTTTGTCCTGACCCGTGTAAGAACTTTTAAAAAAGCTAGGGTCAGGTGCGCGATAGCTAACAGCAAAATATTCGCGAAAACATTCAATATTTTCATTCGAGGCCGCTATCTTTATCAGTGATACCACTATAACCACAATGCAAAGCGCTACGAAAACGTAACAAGGGGAATCTAGTATTCTCATTGCCTTTGAACTGGTTCAAATTTTAATGCCAGAGTTGATAACAGTTTTCGCCACGAGCGTTGTAATATCCAGTCAACTATCATCAACTCTCATACAACTCTTGCTCTCGTTTACATGTAAGCGGGGCATGAGAGTGAAAAAAACTCTTAACGACTTAAGGCCTGTTTAGTTAGGTCCAGACACACTGGACGCGATTCGACAACGCGACGCGATTTTTCGATTTTCACTGACCGATAACTTTGATCCTAGTTTAAATTTTCCAAACATTTTGAAGCGTTATAACATTTTGAGTTATTTGGTCTACATATCTTTTAAAATTTGCTCTCATTGGCTGTTTTATTAACTTTCAAAAACTAAAAAATCGCGTCGCGTTGACGTTGTCGAATCGCGTCCGGTGTGTCTGGGGCTCGTTTACACTTGCAATTTTTGCTGCGATTTCTACTGCGATTTTCTCCTTCTGATGCATGTGAACGAGTAGACAAGTTACGAATGTTCGGAGTACATACACCCTCATCTGAACATTCATAACTTATCCACTCGTTCACATCCATCATATGAAGAAAATCGCACCTAAAATTGCAGCAAAAATTGCAAGTGTAAACAGGCCTTTAAGGTTCGTTTATACTTGCAATTTTTGCGGCGATTTTAGATGCGATTTTCTTCTTCTGATGGATGTGAACGAGTGGATAAGTTATGAATGTTCAGATGAGGGTACATGTACTCCGAACATTCATTACTCATCTACTCGTTCACATCAATCAGGAGGAGAAAATCGCACTAGACATCGCAGCGAAAATTGCAAGTGTAAACGGGCCTTTACACTTGCAATTTTTGTTGGGATTTCTAGTGCGACAATTCTTCTTCTGATGCATGTAAACGAGTAGATGAGTTATGAATGTCGATTACGTTCTGAGTAGATGCACTGAACTATATAACATGGAAGTCTGACTCGAGCTCAAAAAGTGAAGCCAACATGGCGGAATTTGAAGGCATTTCTTGCGCGTCATTCTCAGTCCCCTTACGTGCGCGGTCAACAAAACTTTTATATTTTTCTTTACTTTCCGAGTAAAAATCTGGTGAAAAACATACGAAATTTGAATGAAAAGTTGAATTCTGGTATTTTGTTTGGGTTCGGTTATAAATTTTAATTATTATTTGTTTAGGAGATGTGATATTTGAGTGGAAAGAAAGCAAAATAGCGCGGGTTTGCTGTTTTTGTAAAATGACAAGGAGTGACAAAACAAAACACAAAGTCACTCAATCTTTCAAAATATCTCTATTGCCCCTATCGACAAGAGTTTCACACACATGAATAACTTTAACACACATGAACAGTTTAAGTTTACAAGGCAAACGTCAAAGTGATTTTATTAAATAGAAAATAAAAAAACAAAATTTTCTAACATGTATGGAATTAAATTGGCTAAAAACTGCCTCGAAAACTGCAGTTAAAAAGCAGTTTTAGGTCAGGAAAACCGACTAAAATAAGCTAAATAATGGTGTGAAAACTGAAAAGCACCATAGAAACAAGAAAACGAAACAACCAAAGCAAAAATAAATTGCCAATTTATAAAAATACAGATTTTATATAAAAAAACCCAAAAAAGTTGGAAATTAGTTGTTGAATTCGCAACGAAAAATACAGATTTACTCACACATACAGTGGGAAAATGCGGTAGACAGATCGAGTAGATGAAGGAAATCAGGTTTACATGAAATAAATGAAGTTTATTTCCTTTTTTGCTCTTTTAAAATGAAGAAAAACACAACCCGAGAATCGCGGACCCATCACTTCCCACCATGAAAATACAAAAAATGTTTGGTCGCGCGGGTAGGGGACTGCATGAGAATGACGCGCAAGAATGGCTTCAAAATTCGCCATCTTTGGCTTCACTTTTTGATTACGTCAATGACTGAAGTCAGCCTTCCATGTATATAGTTCACTGAGTAGATGTGAACCCTCATCTGAGCATTCATAACTCATCCAATCGTTCACATGCATCAGAAGTGGAAAATCGCGCCTTAACTGATCGCAGCAAAAACTCGCTTCCCAACTCTCATGAACTCGTATTTTCGTTGGACCAGGGTTTAGGAAGTACCAGACAATGGAAAATAATGTTAGTTTTCTAAACAACCTGTTGAATTACAGGTCGACTTTTCCTAATTTCATTGTTCAATGTATCGCTAGTTTTTACCTGCATTTCTACACATGAACTATATATACGATATAGCGGCTAGCAAAATAATATAGAACAAATATCCTTGCCGACTAAAATATCGGCGATTTCGACTCTTGAAACTAAACATTAAAATGCTTGTCTGGTATTCTTTTGTGCTCTCCAGGACAAAACATGGTTGCTAAAAGGGACAACGTTGAGTAGAGCAGTGGATTTAAATGAAAAGGACAGATCGGTTAATTTGACAAGTCACTGGTTTGGCAATTGTAAGTGTTTTGGATTATATTTGCATCGATACACTTGTTCACTTTTAGTCTATAACTTTGCCAGCTTGCCAGTCAGGGGACGGTTGTTTCGCAAAAGCCGATTACCTTAACACTCGGTTAACCTAAAATTCAATTTGGAAATATTATCTTTAGTAATCTGGTCTGGATCAGTAGGAGTTTTTTCTTCTCTGAAGTTTTGAAATGAAACTAGACGTACAGAAATACATAACTGCTCAAGAGAAACTGACAGGTTCAATTTTAACCGAGGATCAGTGCTAATCCAGCTTTAACAGGCTCAAGTCAAATTAGCATCTCATGGGGAATTTTCAACGTGAGAAAACAGGCCAAGTGGATAGATACATGCATGGCACAGCAACGATCTGCAGCTCCTGTTGCTGTAATAAGTAAAGCCATTGCGTAATTTTGTGTTCGGCAGTGGCCATTTCAGTTTGGCATAAATGCATACTTGTTTCCCCCTATGGTTACCCTGCACTACTACAGGTCAGTTCGTCATTATAGCACATAGATTAGCACTCATATTGTGTTTGTTGCTATGTAGAGTTATCAGTTGAAAAATGGAGAAACTCGTTGAAGGTTCATGCTAGTTAGTTGTATCAATGCAGATCTGCGCTTTGGTGTTTTTTCTAATTTTGCAATTGGCCACAACATGGGCAGGAGGTAGGTTTTGGCAATGGTTTTGTAGCAGGAATCCGGTACCTACTGACTTTGTGACTGCGCTGAGTCGATTCATGTCCAGTTACCAAGTGCCACCATACTACTGTATAGTTAATAAATGAATAGAGCTAGGGTGCGAAAATTTTTTGCTTCATATTTTCATCCACAAAACTGAACTTTCATCACTGTCCAGTGAGATATTTGCCCAACTATTTTAAAGTGTGACTAGTCACAAATGTGATTTTTGGTATGTGTAATATTTAATTAGGTCATTCGAAGAAAAAATGTAGTACATCTCTTGATCTCTATAATTAAAAAGCCCATCTTGAACAACTTTTTCACTAACTGTCAAAGTTTCCAGATATGATGTCATTAGGTGAATTGCAAATTAGTTTTCCTTTGTCAGTTTTCTGTACCAAAAATTCACCTAATGACATCATATCCATGAAACTTTGACAGTGAAAAAGTTGATCTTGAAAAAGTTGATTTTATTATAAAGATACATTTCTTCTTGGAATGACCCAAAATTAGACATACCAAAAATTATATTTGGGAAAAGTCGCACTTTAATAGAAAAT